ATACACAGCGTGAAAAGATCAAATCGAGCAGATCTGCCCATCATCCCACTTATCTTTTCCCTGGTATCTGAAACGTGCTTTCTCAGTTATTTTGAAGTGTGAGTCACACAGTACACTATTATCATTGGCCACGGCCACCCTACTGAGCAGCAACCTCATGAGGTGACTGTCCTGACACCCAGGTGTGAATCTGATCTGCCACAGGACCACAAAGAGGGTTTTCCCATCAATTCTCTTTCCCAGGTGAACAAACCAATGTTCAGAGATTTGAATGATTCACCGAGGTCACATAGTATAACATGACCATGGCAGCTTGAGGGTCCTGATTCAGTGGACTGCAAAGCCCATGTTTCTTTCTTCCCTGGGGAGGACCCTTGCAAAGGAGGTGAGCTTGCTTCCCTGGAACCATGGAACGATCCTTAGACTCTGTGGATAAACATGGAAAAATTAGCAAATAGACTGAGCAAATAAACCAACCATGGGTACTTTAACTCATAAGATTAATTATTTGTAGGTGTTTAGTGTTTGTGCTATCTCACGTTCCTGGACCCCAGGGCGATGCTGGCCCAGAACGGGTGCAGCCCTGGAGCCTGTTTTCCTGTTCATGCAGAGCATAGCACCTTCCAGCCTCAGCCCCGGTCTCTCTCTTTCTAGAGGGCACACGTGCCTGCCTTCTGTAGATCACATCTTAAAGTTGAGGCTTTGTGCTTCAGTGACCCATGGTTTAGCAGAATAGATTTCTAGAATTGCTGTTACTTTAATCTCTGCCTTTGACTCGGTTGTCTAGAAAACTCAGAAAGGCAGCAGATCTGGCTGCAGAGGACGTTGCCCTGTGCACCCCTCACCCCTCAGCATGGCAGGGAAGACTGAGGCTGCAGAATTTCTGCCCTGAGTGTCCCCAGCACCATGAGGGCTGGTGCCCTATTTTCTGTGGTAGCTTTGCCTCTCTACATAGACATGTCTCACCAGCCCCAGTGCTGGCAGAGCAAAGCTGGCAGAGCTGTACTTTGCTGTGGACTTATTTTAGTGGCACTGATGCAAAGCTGTGATGCTGGGGAGGCGCTGTAGCAGTGCTCATGACCTACTGACTTTTAGTTCATGCAAAATAATTGGTGCGGGGTGCCCACTTTCCAGTTCTCAGCACACTGAGTGCATCACAGGCTCAGTGTGCTGACAGAGACATGGGAGCAAAGGGAAGCCATGCTAGCGAGTTGCCCAGGAATAAGGGAGGAAGCACAGCCAGGGGTCAGACACCTGGAGGCTGGGGCCATTTACTCACCCGGAGCAGCCAAGATAGCTCCTGCGACAGCCTTCCCAGGAACAAGGCAGTGTGGTGCGGTCACCTGTGTGCCTGACAACGCGGACCCCAAATGCAGAAATCATCCCCTGCTGTTCAGTCTTTCAGTGTTTAGCGTGATGAACAGAATGAACTCAGTTTAGAAATGTTTCCCTCTAAAACACCGAGAGTTCTCCAAGGAAAATAAAGTTATTCGTAAAATGTTAGCCTTGCTCAATTCTATTTCCAGACAGTTCTGAGTAGTCAAAGGATGTGTGTGTGTGTGTGTGTGTGTGTGTGAGAGAGAGAGAGAGAGAGAGAGAGAGAGAGAGAGAGAGAGAGAGGGTGGGAGAGAGAGTGTGTGTTTACATTTGATTGATACCAATACTTTGCATTTTAACATTTGCATATATGAATGAATTCATTGGTTGATCCTTTGAAGGATGTGAATGATCAAACATCAACTGCATACAACTCGAAAGCTCCTGGGAATGGAAGGCAGCAAGTGGGGCACAGTGCAAGTTGAGGAACAGGAAGGATATACACTCGGTACCACAGGTCCCCGACATACAGTGCTCAAATGCCTTTGCTGTGCCCATTGTCCCCAAGAGTCTGGAGCTCCTTTCGAGCTGAGGCTGCACCCAAGGGTCCCACTTTTGTGCCCTCTCTCAATCACAGGTTTCCTCTCTTGCACCTCACTTTATGTTCTAAAGTGTTGTTCACGGCACAGAAACTTGGTGAACCTCTTCTCTACAGCTGTGAGCATCTCAGGAGTTTAAGGCATACAAGGCCCACATGAGTCTGAAATGGCATGTCGTAGAGAGTCTTATTTTCACCAGAAGTACGTAAACAAAAGGTTAAATATTTCAGGAGCAAATGGACTGATTAAATGAAACGTACCGGAGAAAACAGCCCCCTCAGGAGTCCACGGGGAAGGTGAGGCAGGCAGCCACTGTCCTGGCCCCCGAGACCTCTCCTCTCTTCCAGCATGGGTGGGCTGTCCACTCTCATGAAAACGTTCCACACTGGAAAGGGCCATCAGTCACTTATATTATCTTCCTATCTGCCTATCAAACTATACTTTAAGGAACTAGTTATTAAAGAAATTATATAAACATGCAAATATCTGAAAGAAAAACATTGTTTCTGTTAAGTAGAAGACATATTAGTAAGGAACGCTTGGAGCAGCTAGACACATGACAAGCAGTAAAGGATATTTCTAATCACTTTCTGTTGGGAGAGGATAAAGCAGAATTGTCTAGAATATGTGGCATTGGGAGACATTTCCAATTTTCTAGTATTTAGCATATTTACAATCTATCTTAAAATAAGTATCCCAATAGAATTGTCTAACAGTTTAAGTATTACTTAGAGACACTGTATACTATTTTAATGATTAACTTATATTCTTTGGAAAAGCTTATTCTAGGTGGGTATTTGTTTTTCATGTGTTTTTCACTCCTATATCCTCCTGAATTGCTCTCATCTTGCAAAGGGACTGTCTCAGTCATTTTTCTCAACACTGAGACATAGAAACCAACACCCACAATTAAAGGAGAGGTTTACTTTGGCTGACAGCTCATAGAGGGTTCAGTCCATGGTCAGTGGCTCCAAAGCAGGGCAGCATGGTAGAGGGGCCAGGCAGAGGAGGGCTGCTCAGGGCATGGAGGACAGGAAGCAGAGAGAAAAGGGAGGAGACAGGGAAGGAGCGATAACTTCCCAGGCCATCCCCCTCCCCCCCCCCCCCGTGATCTATCTCTTCTCAGCAGATTACCCTTTCGGGTTAAATAACCCTTAGTTACTGCAGGCTGATCAGGCCTGCAATCTCTCAAATGTGTGGAAGGTGAAGGCTTAAATAAATGAGACAACTGAAATGATTTCACGGCTCCAGGAGGGTCTCACTCTCTTACAGTATTCAAAATTCTCTGGGTTAGACAAAGACTTCTCTGGGCAGCCCGTATTTATTTGGTTTTCAAACAAAGGAGAAGGATACTCAAAAAAATGCAGGAATCTGAGCAGGACCTTGGGAGACTTTTCCCAAATAGTAAATTTTGTCAATCAGGAGAACTTCCTTATCTGTAGGTTAGTATTTATCGTAGGAGTGTGAAGCCTGCAGCTGCAGTCTCCTTATGGTTAAATGGGGGTTGGAGCCAGACATCCTCAGCTGTGGCTTTGTCCTTTGAGGTGTCACAGCTTCACAGGCCAATACAGGCCTCAGGGTGACCAGCGACTCACAGAGGTTCACTTTCAATGACTCCGCTGCTTATCTGCAGACAAGGTGCCTAAGCTTCCAACAACTCACAAGTAAACACAGAAAGCCAATTGGTTAATATTAAATCCTTCTCAGAGCCACTTTGTAGTGGTCTCCAACATCCCCCTCCTAATAGCAAGTCAGCTGAGTCCCGCAATCCAAGTACCTTGGCAAAGCCTTAGCTCATAAGGGCAGGAAGTTTTGGGGGACTCCAGATATAACCCATACAGAAATCATAAGGCATTTCTACTGAGCAACTGTCCTGTGGAGAAAGTATAGTCCCACAGGAAATGGCCAAGGGAAGTGGGACTTGTGTTTGCGGCTGAAATTTTGAGACTTGAAAACAGTGAAGTCAACACTCCTGACAATTCTGATCAAAATGAAGCTCAGGAGTTTGAACTGGTCCCAGGAACAAACAAAAAATAAAAGAAGATATGATTTTTGGCGTTTTAATCTTTTTCCTAGACATGAGTCATGTTGTCATTCACCTGGAATCATTTCACTCGCACAAACACTCCGGAGGTGGGGCTGGCTCTGGGTGGAGCGTGTTGGGTCCCCCACTCGAAGGAGAAACCACTTGCCCTGAAGGCTGCTTTTATGTCTTCATTCGTTGTGTCCTAGAATTGTAATGAAACAGTGAAAATTATCCTGACACATTTCTGTGTTCAGATGGAAAACAAAATCCGCATGCTTCTTAACCCAGCACTGAAATTTTATCTGAATATTCGTCATTTCTGCACAACTAGAGATGTGCACATTGAGGAAACTTGTTCTGTGCTCATGGTGTAGGAGGAAGCTGAGCATGGTCTTTTTCCCTGAGTGAAAATATTTTTTATCCCCTAGTTTGTCAATCACTTTAAAAATCAGTTCTTGAAAAATAGCAAAATTTTCTAAAACACTGAATACAGGAAAAGTAAATCTCTGCTCTAGAATATAACAATAAATGTTGGTTATTATTATTATTATTATTTTTAGGGATAAAACAATCTTTTCTGGAAGGTTTCTGGAATAGCTCAGTGTTTTATAATCTCACATTTTTGTGCCTTTATTACAATCTTTCAAATCAAGGCACGAGTGTATACTTTCATGGAAGATAAATTCGCAAAGAAAGTTAATATTCCTTTAATGTATTGCCTTCTAAGCAGTAGGTAATGATTCATGAAAATCTGCCAGATTAGCTACACTCCGATGATATGCCAGCTTTGTTGTCATAAGGTAAATACATGAGGTAAAGCACAGGTCTGTGAGGTTGTAATTGCTAAGTGTATATTCCCTGTGGAACAGCCCAGTGAAAATGTCCTGCTTTAGGCCAGCTGAGAAGTGGAAAGGCATTGGATCCTTAACTAACATACCTGATTTCAACCTTTGCAAAAAGCTTTCTTCAGGAGAAAATAAATTCTCCAAGGATATTGTCTCCGTGCCTGGGTTGCTTCCGCCCCACTTTAACTAAGCAATTCTTTCTTTCTGTTTCAGGATCTAGATTTCTCATCACATCCACGGGAGCCTTGTATATTAAAGATGTACAGAATGAAGATGGATTGTATAACTACCGCTGCATCACGCGGCACAGATACACCGGAGAGACCAGGCAGAGTAACAGCGCTAGACTTTTTGTATCAGGTAACAACTCGCCAACATTGCTTGCTATTTCTGTGGCTCCCCTCACATTGTGTTAGAAAAATTGCACAATTTTGTACTAAAGTGAAACCTAGAGGCTTTTATTTTTCAAAATATCTTACTGGCTATCAAAGTCTTTTAAACCAGTATCAGTAGAATATAATACAAATGTAGATATTCCAAATGAAGTCATTTCACAGTTTGTACACAGCTCTCAATTCCTTTGACCCAGTGAGACTCCCACTGTGAAAGCCACACTCCCTTCCCCCAGCGATTTGTATGTTTTATCATCCACGGAACTGGCACCATCTTGCTTTGGACCCTGCATCTCTCTGGGGAGAAGACGGTGCTATGGGTCACACTTTGTTTCTTAAATGGTACCTAATGCCACTGGGGAAATTGTCCCATCTAAAGTTGAAAGGACATTCTCATCCGCCCACCTCCTTCCGGGACTGTTCCCAATGGAAAGAGGAAACCTGAGTTAAGGCCACACTGCTAAATATGCCAGTGATGTGCTTTCCTTCTTGGAATGTGTGCTTGAGAACATATCACCATTTGTATCCCGGTCACAGGCAGCTTGTTATTGGCTCGTCTGTGTCACAAACGATCCCTTCACAGGGTGAACTGTGAGCACCTCATCTTGTGCTTTGGGACTCAGAAGCATGTGTCTCAGTACTGGCAGATTAAGTGCAAAACATCTGAGCTTTGCCTTTGTAGATGAAGTCTACAGACTTGCTCCGCGTGCGGAGTGCCTTGCCAGGGTACAGTAGTGAGACGCACTTGGCCAGAGGCTGTGGGCGTCTAGGCACCACTCTCTTACTTTACTTGTAGTGACACTGGAAGGGGAGAAGAGGTGAAGGGACTCCAGCCTGGCGCTGTTAAGGGCGTCATCGCCTCCTGCTGCCCTGGGGAAGCCCCCGGCACACTGGTCTTCTCAGCTCACGTTCTCGGAAAAGCTGAGCTCTTACCTGTTTGTCAGTGCACAGCACAAATACAGGTCAGAATTCAGTGCCTCTGCCTCCGAATGTGAAATTCGTTCTACGCTTTTTTGTGCTATCTGTGACTTCCTTCCCCGCTCCTGTTCCCTGTACTCTGTCTCCTTGGGATGCAAATGAATGGCACCTGTCCTCCTAGCCCTTGGGGGCTTCACCGACAGCACAGGGTCCCTCCCGCTCATCCAGAACTTCCTGTTTACATAGAAGAGGAAGTTACATAGAAGTTACATAGAAGGGCTGGTGTCCAGACCAGAAAGAGGGACTTCAGGGGGACGAATCTCCATATGAGATTCGTTTTTGGGTGACAGTAAATAAGCATTTCTCCATGCAACAGATGAATTTGCAGTCAGGGAGTATTCCCCAGTCCTGGATAAGAGTAATTCCACAAAGAATTGCCTCGCACACAGAATTGGAAGAGACAAACCAAAAATGGTGCCAAAAGTTTATTTGAAAAGTGAAGGGTGAAAGGTGGCCTGTGGGCCAAATAAAGAGAGGAAAGAGTAAAATCGGGAGTAAGAACGCACTCCGTGTGGGAGATGCGGGGCCAGCCACTGTGAGGAGCCAGAGCATGCCTCTGCACGGCCTCTCCTCTCTCGTAGGCTGTCCACCTCTCATGGGAGCCTGCAAGAATTCCCCTGTACGGGGTCTCAGGAATGACTTGGCGCTGCCCTGGGCTCTCCTGATTGACACGTTGTACTTATTTCTCCAGCCAGCTCTGGCAAGCCCAAGCTCCGGAACTAGATTCAGGGCTGGTGATCCAGGAGCCGGTCCTTGGCTCTCAGCTGACCTTGTTTATCTCTGCACTAAATCGTGCAGTACTCATTCTCAATTTGGGTCTCAGGTTTGAAAAAGCAAATGTATCTTCCTTCATCAAAGTTGTGTGTTTGATGTTGCTGGAGGGATGTGCCAGGAACTGAGCAATAGTTACAAGCACGGGGTCAACTTGGAAGCCACCAAGTCTCCGAGATTTCAGAGTGCGGCCTTGAGAGACGAGCCATCCATTGGAGCATCCTGGCTGCAGTGCCTGCACCTGAGGAGAAGCAGGGGGACCCGCGAGGGTGAGGGCCGGATGCGATAGGTGCACTGTGAAGCAGTCCGTAGAGTCCTGAGTCACAGAGACGCTTCCGTGGGAGTCTACTGTCACGTGTTTAGAACTCTTGATTTTTTATTTGTGACAGAAATTTTAATAAAGCAGTTGAGGGAGAAAAATTTAATGTTAAAAGAAAAGAGGCCACAGAAACTGAATGCAGACTGCACGCTACACTTGGAAGAAAAGAAATGAATTTCCATTTTGGCTGAAGTGTATTTGGAAATACACACATGGAGCTGGCCTTATGGTGGAGGTGTGTCAGTGTCAACGTTTTGGGACACTGACCTTGTCCTGAAATGAAAATGGACAGCATCGGGTGGCCAAAGAAAAAGCAGGGGGATGATACTGGCAAGAGAACCCAGTGATGGGGACTCTCAGCAGCTCTAGGACCCAGCAGGGTGTGGACAGGGGCTGGAACCGCAGGACCAGTAGGGCCAGCAGCAGACAGCAGGCTATGGGCTATGGGAGGGGACAGCCCCTGGGACTGAACCACAGTCACAGAACTGGGACACAGCTGGCAGGTGTCATTGCCAGAAGCGGACGAGCATTTTGGGGATGGAAGCCTGGGCAACTTTGTCTCAGACATCTCCCAGCCTTGGGGAGAATCGTATGAGTTCAGGGTGAAAGTGAGGAGGCTGTGAGAGTTCTCCGAAAGACCCACGGAGTGCCCCTTGGTCTCAGACATGTGCTGCAGGTGTCCTTTCAGGGGCAAAGACCTCTGCCGGGGATGCTGGGTCCAGGAAGCAAATTGAGCCTGAGAGGGAGAAGGCCCATGGCAGCAGGGCAGTGCTAGAAGACTCAGCCTGTGAGAGATGAAATCAATGTGGAACGGGACAGTCCCATCTCAGTACAACAGGACAGCTGCCTGGAAAATGTGGCCACATGTGGAAGCCTCTCTGCTTAGGTCCAGCTGAGAAATGGGGTAACATTTGAGTCCTTCCAGATAATGTCTGGGAGAAGGCCAGATGGGCTTATTTATGTCACCAGCTCATGTAGAAAGTCTCTCCTCATCAGCTGAAGAATGCCTTATAAAATGGAACCAAAGGGGAAAGTTTTAACCTCATGTCTTTGTCAAAGAAAAAAGTTGAAAATTAGCAAAAGCAATATTTGGACTATGGGAAGTAACTCAACAAAATTTGGACACAAATCCTATAAAAACTATCATGGTGGAAAAATGATTCCAGCTTGCAGTAGCACTGTAAGTCAGAAGTAAAGTAACTCAGGAATGAAGTAGCTAAACAAGAAGAACCTGGGAAATGAGAGACCATGTAACTTAATAAATTTGAAGGAACACATTGGAATATTCACAGCAGAAAACACAATACGGAGAGTTAAGATGAGTAAGAAAAAAAGTAGAAAGTCAAACACAGAGTAGAAATCATTCCTAGGAGAATAGAGTGCATAGATACCAGGTAAAGATGGTACAATACATATATAATTACAGTCACTTTAAAAGAAATAAAAATAGACCAATAATTCAAGAAATATTCCTGTAATTAATGGACACACAATTTAAAAATGTTGAAAGATTCTGCCAAGTGGACACAGAATGATCTATATGCAATATATTTTAATAAAATTTACAAAGTGTAAAGATGCAGAAGACAGAAGATCATTTCAGCAACCAGGGATTAAAGTCGAGTGGTGTCTGAGGGGAAATAGAAAGTATGTGATGAAATAAAAAACAGCCAAAAGAGCAAATGCAATAACACAGTTTCTTTAAAAACCAATAAAACAGACAAACTGACCCAATTTAAAAAAAAATAAATAACATTGACTTCTGTACTGGGCCTGGGTTAACTAGACTGACCATTCTTTCCCAAGGATAGCTAATAAGACTGGTTAATTTTTTCTTTAAATCTACATTCATTAGGAGCAAATGGTAGGGCCAGATTCCAGGCAAAATACAAGGCCACAAGTAAGTGTGCATGGAGGGGAAGGCTGCTTTCTGGAGGGAGGGCAACTTGAGGAGAAGCCAGAGGAGAGTAGAGTGGGGCAGAGAGCTGTGGATCCCCCTGGGGGGTGGGGAGCCAGGAGGGCCAGGGTGTGGTGAACTTTTCCCCACCATGGGCACTACAGGGACAGAGAGCAGGGGATGGGGCTGAGCTCAGTGGCTCTGGGACTCTGGGGCTGCGGAAGGGGTCTTTGGCTCACTAAGGCTGCAGTGACAACTTTGCACTGACTGTTTAAGAACACTTTGCATTAGGGAAACTTCATAGGGACAGGATGCTCCAATGTCACACTTTCTGTGATTTGGCACTAAGGCCGTAGAGCCCCAAACAAAGAGGGACTGTAGGAAAGCAGGCATGTGGGGGATGAAGCGGGAAGGTGCTGCCCTGCTGGGTCTCTGCCATGAGCTATCGTCTCTACTTTCTTGGGTTTGCAAGGTTTGGCCGTTGAACGCAACTCTTCTGTAATAGAAAGTCTGAAGATGGGACGAAAATGAAAACCAGTGCCATTCGGCTGCTGGTGCTGTATGTGCCCAAACCCTCCTGGGCCAGCCTGTCTCAAGCACGGCTTACAATGTGAAATAAGTGGCCCATTCCTGTTTTGTAAAGCACCTTCATTGAGATATAGCTCAGCAACATAAGCTCCATTCATTTTTAGGTATACAATTCAATAATTTTAGTACAAACCCTCCCTGTAACAGTGTACATCTGTAATCCCAGCTACTCTGGCTGAGGCAGGAAGATCGCCTGAGCCCGGGAGTTCAAGGTCAGCCTGAGGAACATAGCAAGCCCTGTCTCTTAAATTAATAATAATAATAATAATAATAATAATAATAATAATAATATAATATTTTAGTACATTTAGAGAGTTGTACAAATACCAGCATAATTTAGATTTAGAATGTTTCCATCACCAAAACCAAGATCTCTCCTACCCATTTGCAGTCAATTCTGATTCCTCCCCGCAGC